ATCATCATCTGTACGGCATGAATGCATCTGCCTCTTCCAACGGGCCATAAATATTCATCTTTGGAATTTGCATACGTGTGCCCTGTATCATTCCCTGTGCTGTTGTATGGGGCTGTAACTCTGCCCTCGTCCTGGATGCTTATTTTGTCGTATTTTATGTGTATGGAGGGATGTTTCTTGTGTGTGTGTGTGTGTGTGTGTGTGTGTGTGTGTGTGTGTGTGTGTGTGTGTGTGTGTGTGTGTGTGTGTGTGTGTGTGTGTGTGTGTGTGTGTGCGTGTGTGTGTGTGCGAGAGCGCGTGCGCGTTTGGCAAAAAAAAAAAAAAATAAAAAAAAAAATCAAAAAAAAAATCATGACGCCCATTGTTGCTTATATATCATAATCCTCATAACTATTGTAAGTACCTCGTTTCCTTGCTCATCTTTTAATTTGCAATAGTTGAAACATCACATGAAAGTTTAATGGTAATGATAACAATAATAATGATCATGATACTGATGATGATGATGATGATGATGATGATGATAATGATGACATCATCATCGCCATGACGATGACGATGACGACGAAAATTATGATAACACTGACAGCAGACAGCCTATACAACTTAAAACGAATGATTTCAGCAGTAATAATAAACGATAAAACAAAAACGATAATGATGGTGATGATGTGTCGCTCTTATTTGCAGAAAAAGTGAATCTAAAATTAGAGTGTTTGTTGCCCGTGCCAATAATTAATTTTGTAATTCGGAATTAATTCAAAATTTCTATTGGCATAATAATCCTGTTCCATACTAATTTTCCATATTTTTTCCAAAAAATAATTAGTTTGATGTGTATTTGGGAAAATGACAACGCCTGTTTCTGTGTTGTCACACCATGAATATAAATTAAATCACGTGATACTACATTAATAAAAATGCCTCATTCAGACTTTATATTTCCTCTTACACACCCAACAAATTTATTTTATTCAAATGAAAAAGAAATCAAATATACATATTCGTCTGAAGTCAAAGAAAAAACAAATCTGCTCATATTAATTCTACTCATCTGCATAAACACTGCATTTGCGGGGCTGAATAACTTTACAATCTCAGGTCGCTATTTATCTTGCAAAAAGATAGGCCGTATTAATCTGGAAAACTTTTGGCATAAATCAATTCCGGCGAGACGTTCTTACTCGCCTTCGGGTAATTCGTACTCGTTTACCTCAAAACACCATTCAGGAGAAACGCCCTTGTACGGACACCTATGGAAATACGGCCGAGCCAGGCGTCCGCCCCCACAACCCGCTGCTCCCAGCCGGCGGAGCCAGCGACGTCGACTCACCTTCTCTCTGAGGAGCTCCCGGATCTTGCCGGCCTGGTCGCGGAACCGCTGCAGGGACAGCTCCAGCTCCAGGCATCGCTCCTGCCAGTTGACGACCTCGTCGCCGCCCCACACCATGGGCCCCGGACCCATCGTCTCGTCCTCGTCCGTGAGCAGCTCCGCCACGCCGTCCACCTCGCCCGCCAGCTCCGACAGCACGGACGGCAGCGACGACTGGTGGCCTGACGACGCCAGGGAGTCTGTCAACGTGGACAGCTGCGAATATCTGGAGGACACGCTGTGCGAGCCCCGGCAGGAGCCAGGGGACCCCGGTGTGGGCGTCACGTCCCCGTTGTTGCCACCGCCGTAGCCGTCCTCGTCCTCGTCCTCCAGGCGGCCCGTGCTGAAGCGGCCCGACCCCCCGCTCAGGGTGGAGAGGCGGGCCATGTCCAGCGCCACCTCGGCGGAGAACCTCGGGTCCAGGTGGCAGCCGGAGCTCAGCGTGGAATAGATGGAGGGTTCGCGCCGCGCTCCCGAGTAGGGCGCGTCAGAGGGCGCTTGCGGCACCGCGTCCCCCGGGGTGCCTGGGGACGGGGGGCAGTAGGAGGCCCTGGGGGCGGGCTCGGGTGGCGGATCATGGCCGGCGTCCTCGTCGTCGGCGAAATCGTCGGCCTGGCCCTCCTCGCCCTCCTCGGTCCAGGCGTCCACATTGAAGAGCTGGGACAGGCGCCTCTCCGAGAAGAAGAACCTGGAGTCTGACAGTCTGTGGGATGCCATGTCGTGGGCGTAGGAGGTCGCGGGGATCACGTGCGAGTATGGGCGTGGGTATCCTCCTCCCAGGTTGGCGGGGTCCTCGCCCTCCGCCATCGTAAGCGTCCCGAAAGGTCACACAGAAGCAGCCGAACACAAGGCCTCACAGGGATGCGTCCACTCCATCACCACCATCACCACGCATCACCATCACTGCACATCATCGACACACTTCACTATTCACTATACAATCCCCGCGTGAAGGCTGGCACTCGCTCCCGGGGCACTCACTCAGTGCAGCCGGCTCGCGGCGCCTCAGCCGAGGGCTTCGCCGCTGGGCTCAAGGGCGCGTCGGAGGCTCTTGGCGGCGCCCCGCCCGCCCCGCCGCTCACCCGCTGACACTGCTTCCTCCTGCCGGCTGGCTCCTCCGCCTCTCCT